ATGCACGCCCAGGGGGGTATAGGGGCTCATCTGTGGTCACACAGCTGGTCTGTTGGCTGGCCTCAGGAGCCGGGACATTCAAAGGCAAGTCCCCTGAGCTATGGCTCACCTCTGCAATGCTGTAGTTTGCAGTGGGTGAATTCTTTCCCCTCTGGTGGTCCTGTGACCCAGTCTAAGGGCTGATGTGGAGCAGGCACCAGAGCCCACACAGTCAAAACAGTGGTAAGCCCCCCTGGTCTTGGAGGGGGCTCTCCGAGGTGCACGGTCAGGCTCTGGGTGGAGGATCATCCATAGTAGGGTCTTGGCCTCCAGAAAGGCTCATGTTCAGCTGAGCTGCACCTGCTGATGCTCTCACTGCAGGATGAAGTGTCCCCAGGGGGTCAGACCCAGGCCAAGGGCTCACCTGGCTCTGCTCGGAGAGGGCCCAGGCAGAGCCCCCAGAGCTCCTGGGAGTACAAGTCTTAGTGTGGGTCCTGACAACAAGCCCGGCAGAGCTCTCAGGAGGGAAAAGGAGACAGGAATTCTCCCAGCCCTGGCACCACATCTCACCTCATTTCCTATCCCTGCTCCTACTCGGAGACCTGGTTTCTGGCTTAGAACTCACAGGTTCGGTGACCTTGGGCAAGTCACCCACCCTCTCTGGGCCTCAAGTTTCCCATCTGGCAGTCCTTTTACTCTGGTGGTGGCACCCTGGCCTCAACAGCCTAAGTGTCCCCAGAAAGGACTCTTCCCCAAAGGCAAGAAACAGGGCTAACCAGAGCCAGAGCTACCCAGGGACAGAGGATAAGCCTGGGAGATGCTGGGCCCAGCTGCCACCTGTCACTCCAGTCCAACAGCTTGGCAGCACCAGGCGCAGCTTTGCTTAAAGCTCAAGGCGCAGCAGTTGTAGATGGTCTCCAAGCCTGGCCTCCCCCAGCCTCAGCTGTCCCATCTGCAGAATGGGCAGGCGGCCGGCCCGAGTCCCTCAGCAGCAGATGGAGAGGGAGATAGGGGATGTCGGTCAGGTGGGGACCCCTCCCTTGCTCCCAGCCTTAGCAGGCAAGCAAGGGATCTGCAAACAGCCAGGAAGTGGCTGAACCCCTCCACCCCCACCCCAACCACCCATTCTGTCCAGCTGCGTGGGCTGGATGGAAAATACAGGGTCTGGGTGAGGCCCTGCAGGCTTCTGCCCCCTCAGCAAGGGATGCAGGTGGCTCCTGAGGAAGTGATGGCCTCTTCCGGGGGCAGAGAGCCATCCCCACACCCTCCCCACCGTGGCTGGCCCCACTGAGTGCCCCCCACCTCTCATGCCAAGCCTTGGAGTGACCATTTGTGGTGATCTTGGTTTGTCTGGGGAAGGGATGACTGGAGACCAAGGCAGGTGATAAAAGTTTCAGGGCCAGCTGAGCACAGTGCCTGGGGAGAATGTTAGCAGTATGGAGCGAACCGCTCGCCCATCACCAGGCCCTGGCCCTCCTCTCTGACCTTCTGCTGGGACAAGGAAGTCGTATGGCTCTGGGTCGCGACACCCTGCCTCCACACTGAGGGTTCTGGCTTGGATACGGAGGGGCCCTGACCTCCACGGTGCAGAGCTGGGGGAATACAACCCATTGGAAAGAAGAGGACAGCTGCCGAACAAACACCAGTCCCACAGAGAAGAGCCTGGCCAATCACCTGGGACCCTGACACCTGGGTGCGCCTCTGCTGGCTGCAGGTGAGGCTCTCGGACAAGGCGCTGTGTCAGCCGTGCGCAAGCAGGTTGGTGCCATGTGTACACACGGACATGCCTGTGCACGTTGGCACACGGCCCCCAAGGGTGTGCATGCCATGTGGGCTGTTGTGTAGCAACAGCGTTGTCTCACCCCACGGGCAGCCTAACAGCAGGTTAGAGTGAAGGTCAGAGAGCTACAGCCCTTAGGCCAAAGCCAGCTGGGCCTGCCTGCTCCCCGCACAGCCCAGGTCTGGTGCTCACATTCACACCTAATAAGATCCTATGAGCCACAAAATGATAAGCGATTCAAATCGCAGCAGCAACTAGCTTCCCTGAAACACGAAGTCACGTGTGTCGTTTACATATAGTCTAGGGCAGCTTTCACGCTCCAACGGCAGAGGCGATGGAGCCCCAAAATACTCATGATCTGAAAACCTAAAATAGCCACGATCTGACCCCAACAGAGAGAGGCAGCAGCTGCCAGGGCAGAGCCAAGGCCACCCTGCCTCCCAAGGGGCAGAGCCTGGGCCACGCCAGGCCACCCTGCCTCCCAAAGGGCATTGCACTTCAACGAACTTCTGGGGGAATGATAACACTGAAGTCTCTAGGTGGTAGCTGGGCTCATTTCCACGTAAGTGCACGAGCTTTGGGTTTTACAGCTTTATGTCGGTTTTCCAGGCAAAGGACCTCCAACTCCTCTCTTTCCTACACCCAGGATGTGAGCATGCGTGAGGGACAGGGTAGGGGCTGAGTTCATTTGTGGAATACAACAGACTCTCTTCTTTCCATCCATCCAATTGCTCCGCTAGTGTCACCATGCCCTAGCCTATGCCACAGTTCAGGAGAGGAGGGGAACCTACCCACAGTCACCCACATGGCTGGTCAATGCAGAGGGGGCACTTGGGACTCAGCCCTGCTCTTTCTTGGGTCATTAACAGCAAGGACGACAGGGCCCCTCTGGACATGAGAAGCGGGAGCTTGTCCCTTTGCCCAGCAGGCTTCCTGCCAGCCCCTGTAGGTCTCCAGACCTGCCTCCCTGCCTGGGGGGTCTTGGCAGGTGTCCAGCAGCCTGCAGAGCGATGAGTGGATTTTTTTTTCCCTTTTCCTGCAAACACAGGCAGGTGTGGAGTGAATAGCTCTGGGAAACTGCAGGAGGGGTGGCCGGGAAGTGACCGGAGCTGTATTTCTGGGGAGTCAGCACGGAGGAACTATAAAATGGGGATGCTATTCAGAGAAACTGGGGATTCAAGGGGAGGTTCCTGGTGTGGTAGCTATGGGATGGACTGTCGCTGCTTTTGGGGACCCAGGAGGGTCACCAGCTGCGATTTGGATAATCTTAGTCAGCATTAGCCAGGAACCCCAGAGCAGCAGAAAACGCAGCCCTGTCTGCCTCCGGCCCTGTCTCTGCCTCCATAAAGAGCCTGGAGCCGGGCATGCCCAGCACCTCACCATTCCCCCGCCAGGATCCCACACCCTCTGGAGGCCTGGGTGATGACTGCTCCTCCTCTCAAGTTCAGATCCAAAAACTTTTGAACCTGATGCTTGCCTCAACCACATCCTGCCCTCTCCCACCCCTACCCCTTGCCCTCCCACATGATGGACTCCTCTGATGTGTTCTGTTCCTTCTCGCCCCACAGCCTTTGCACCGCCTGCTTCCATTGCCTGAAACGCCGGTTCCTCCCTGCTCCATCCACAAATCTCTGGCCACGCTTCCCTTCCTCGATTGCCCTTTCACAAGGGCTCCTGGACAGTCCATCCGATATACTCAGTCCTGCCCACAGTCTATGAGGTCAGAAGTTAGCTAGCTCCACAACTACAGCGGGGTGTCTGGAGTCGTCACCTTGGGGGACACCTCCATCAAGGACCCCATGTAGCTTCCTGTTAGACTTGAGGGTCTGGGTGGGTGGGATATGACACTGAGCAGGGGGTTCTGTAAATGGTGGAGCGTGGGAGTGCCATCAACTGTGACCAGGGCCTGGAGTCAGGGGGACAGCGAGGGACAGAGCTGTCCCATCAAGAACCCGCTTGGGAGGGCCCCAACTAGATTTTTGTACTCTGTGAAGACCCTGCAGGTGCCAGGCAATGTTGGAGGGTGACACGGGCTGGTAGAACTTTCTGCAGACTGACTGGCAGTATTCTGGACTGCTCTGTCCTGCAAGACACATGCAGTCACAGAGCCATGGAGCTCCACCGTGGCCAGTGAAACTTCTAACTTTGCTTCATTGCAACTAAGTTTCAAGAGTCACACTTAGCAGCAGCTCCCAGGTCTGAGGGCGTGGCTCTAGTTAGCAGAGGGGAGGGTTCTTCCTCCACCAAGGCAGTCAGGTGCTGCTTTGCTCTCCAGCCCCCTTAGCTCCCTGTGGATGCCTCCACATGGTCTGCCCCCAGGGACTTGCGCTGATGGTCCATGTGCCAAGGACACATCAGCTCCCATGGGGCAGGCCCTCCTCCTCCTCTTGGCCCACCCATTCACCCCAGGAACCAGCAGGCCAGCCCCAGGGACACCTGCACAGGGAATAGCGGAATCCAGCCCCAAAGGGTGAGGGTGCAGGAGCGACAAGTCTGTCTGGTTGCTCTCATCTGCACCGTCATCTGTGACGTTGCCACCAACACCACCATCGCCACCACCCTCGTGCTCACCACCAAGCGACACCCACACACAGACGGCCTGCCACCACGTGGCCGCCAGCCTCACTTTCCATCACTCCAACTCTGCCACCACTATCGGCATCCATGTCACCGCCACCAATGACTGCCCCAGTGTCACCGTCGTCGCCAACACCACCACCCCTTCCACTATCACGGCCACTTACACACCACAGACACGGCTGCTAACACTGTCACCATGGGCCTCAGCGCCCCCAAAGCCTGCCACCCTCGGAGCCCATTGAGGACTTCAGCGAAGGGCTCTGGCTCTGCATCTCAACCCTGTCACCACCACTTCCTGGGTTCCAATCCCTCAGCTTCCACAAGCCTCAGTTTCTCCATCTATAAAACGGACCGCTCTGGCTCAGAACACAGCAGGAGGATATGCTGTTTGTGATTGCTGGGAAAAGTGCAGCTGAGGCCCCAGTTCTATGGTAACCGAGCGCCAGCACTCTCCTGGGTTCAGAGCACAGTTCTTCTAGGGACGCTGCCCTGTCTCCCTAGAGACTCAGGCTGCCCTGAGGCCCTACAACCCATCTGAGAGGCAGCGTTGGAACCAAGGGCTCCAGTGGGCTTTGGCTGGACTTGCCTTCTTTCATTCCCCACCGCCCCGACCTGGGGTGGGGATATTGGGAAGAGGGAGCTGGGGCGGGAGTGTGCTCACCTGTGTCTTGGCGAAACTGGTGCATGGACTGCAGGTCGATGATGTAGGGCACCAGCTGGGCATCCACCTGGCCCAGGACCACCGAGCCCCGGGCATCCTCCTTGAGCACATTCTCGATGTGGTGGCACACGGTGGCCGTGTAGGGACGCCAGCGGCTGTATTCATTTAGCCACTCCCACACCACCACCCGAGCCACATTCTGTGGGGGGAAGCCCAGCCCGGACACTGGGACCATCATGCCCTGGCCTGGCCGTGACATGGCTGCTGCCGTCACCCCAAGGCCCAGGTCCCTTCCTGCTGCAGCAGCCTGGGGTGGGGTCTGTGGGTCAGGAGCAGGAGGACTGCTCTCCCAGCCTACAGGCCTCGGTCAGGAGCCGGGAGCCGCAGGGCTGTCTCAGATAAGGGCCTGGCCTGCCCACCAGCAGGTGTCTTTCCCACAACAGGGGGCAGGGGTCTGCAGAAGCTGTGTCCACCCCCACCCCCAGGCTCAGGCGAGATTGCTGTGTGGTGGTAGCCGCCCCTGGCTAGGTCCGGCCTCTTGTCTTGCCGTTCTCTGGTCCTCTCCAGCCAGCCAGCCAGGCAGGGCCTGTCACCTGGGAAGCCAGTCCCAGCCTGCACTGCCTGCAGCCCTCTGGGCTGGCACAGCGTCCCAGACCCCTGGACTTGGCTTTGGCTTCAGCCTTGGTGCACCCCTTCCCGACGGCTCCTGCTGTAGGGATGTCCCTGCCCCTGGGTCCCCTCTGCACAGAGGCTGCGGTGGTGATGGTGGTGGCGGTGGTGTTGGTGTCCCGGAAGGCCTGGTGGTCGCAGAATGCGGTGGGAAGGCACAGCACAGACCCTCCTCTGGCGGTCCCCGGCTGCGACTCCGGAGCTGGCCGGGGGGCCGAGGGGACCGAGGGGGGCGGGGGCCGTGGGCACGCCCCACCCCACTCGTGCTCTCGACCTGCCAGGAGAGGGAGAGAGGGCCCTTTAAGAGTCGCGCACAGCCCCCTCCCCCTTCCCGGGAGATCGCCGGGCTGAGAACAATGGGGAGCCGATGGGGGGCGGCCAGGGGGGACTGCTGGGGGGTTTCGCCTGACCCGCGGCCCCTAGGGACCAGGCCTGCCACCCGCACACCCGTCCACCCAGGCCGGGGTTGGGGACAGTGCGGGGTCCAGGGACTCCCCGCTTGCAAGGCCCCTTCCTCAGCCCCTCCCTGAGTGCACCCCTTTTCCGGGGCTCCATCCTGTCCGAGAGATGCGGGGTGCGCGGGGTGCGCGGCGCTGCAGGCGCGGCCCAGCGCCCCTCGGGGGTCTCATCACGCAGGAGCGGGATGGTTGCCGCCACACTGCGTGGGGGTCCCAGCCCCGGGTCCCCCAGCCCAGCCCACCCTGCAAGTCCCGGGGGTGGGGTCGCGAGGTACCCGCGTGCGCGCTCTCCTCGCCTCACCTCTGCTCTGCCCGCTCCTCCGCCCGCGCGTCTGCACCGCCGCCTGTGGCCCCGAGTGGGAGGGGGCCGCCGTCCCGCCTCCGCGCCCGGTCCCTGCGTGGGCCCCGCGACCGCCACTCGCGGACACCCTGCCCCTCCGATCGGCCGAGCGACGACGGACGGACAGACGGACGCAGGAGCCGGCCGCACGCCGGGATCCCGCGGGAGGGAGCGAGCGAGGCGGCCGCGGCCGCGCTGGGGAGGGAAGGGGAGGGGGCGGGGAGGAGGAAGGGGAGGAGACAGATCGCGGCCCTGGCGTCGCCGGCGGCGACACGCGAGTCCCGGGGCGCCCCAAATGCGTGACCGGGTCCACCCTGGATCCCCCGCCCCCCAAGCACGTCTGCCTGAATGCCAGCAGGCATCCCGGGGCTCACCTGCTAGACCGAGTCGTGTGGCGCGCACAGTAGGTGCTGGGTGGATGTCAGAGTGAGTGAATAAGGGCTAGCAAACCGAGGAGAGATCTCAAAGCATTCTAGGGCGGCCTCCCTGGCTTGCCCCACTCTCGCTGGAGGTTTGAAGGGGCCAACAAACGGAGGAGGAGACCCGGAGACGGATATGTACAGCTGGGGGAGACTGAGACCCCGAGACCAATCTAGGCCTAGGGCGGCGCAGGAGAGCAGTGGTCGGCCCCAGCCCTAGGTCTGATTCTGCTGCCAGCACCTACTTCCTGCAAAGCAGCCACCTGCTCCAGGTGAGAGGGGCAGGAAGGACATTCTGTTTATCAGCCTGGGGAGGGGACCAGAGACCCTCCGTCTTCTTGTTCCCAGCTACCTGCACACAGCAGGTGCAGTTAGTAACGGAAGGCCAGGCTGGTGCAGCCTGCAGCGACTTTGCCGTTAAAGGGGGCAGTCAGTCGCTCCTTCCTCAGCCTGGCCTGCCTCAGGCAAGCTGGATGCAGCCCAGGACATCACTGGTCCACCGGGAGGCGGATGCCCTCCCCACCCCCCCGCGCCCCGTGGAGGGGGGCTGAGAGTGTTTAGATGAGGAAGATGAAGGCTGAATGCCTTATACCTCCAGCCTGGCTCGCACACAGGGGTCAGCAGGCCATTTGGGAGGCTGCCCAGTGCGGCCCACGCTTGCTTCCCTCGGGGCCGATGTTGACAAACTCAGCAAGGTCTGAGTGCCTTCCTGGAACCCGCATCCGCCATCTGGAGGAACCTCCCAGCCCAGGCGCCTGTTCCCCCTGCCGCGCAGGGCCTGGTGGGCTTTTCCAGGTCCGGTGCGGGGGTCTGTGTGTGCAGCTGTAGAGCGGACTTGGATGCAGCGAGGAACGCTGGGATGTTAGCCTCAGGTTCTTCACTGGCACGCTGGGGCTCCTGTCCGTGAGAGCTTGCTCCCCGCCATCCGTCATGTACGGTGTGGGATTTCTTTTTGGGTGAGGGGAGAGAAGGGCCGTGGTTTTCAATAGGTTCTTCTCAAAGGAGGCATCGCCCTAAAAGGGTCCAAGATACAGCTGCACAGCTTTCTGTTGCAGGTCGGGATCTAGGGACCCCAGGGTCAGGTGAGATGGCCTTGAGGGGACATGGAGACATAGCAGCAAGTTGTACAGAGGAGGAAAACTCTTTGGACTTGCTCTTGAGGCTCTGGTAAACATCACCTCCTCCAGAAAGCCTTCCTGGAATCCATCCCGTCATCCTTGGCCCATGCCATGAAGTGGCACCTGCAATTTTGCCACTTGAGTGAAAGCTGCCCAGCTCGAGCAAGGTGTCTGTGAAGTTAGGGCCTGCTGCCTTCATGCGGCTTGGTACCAGTGGTGAGCCCTGCATATTTGCGAGTCTCCCTGTCCCCACAAACTGGCCATGACGAGTACGTATGGACAGGAAAAGTTCCCGTGTTCAGAAGTTACATGGCTTGTCCCGGCTTGCACCGGGAGCAGCAGGCAGGGCTGAGGGTTGGGTCTCGGCCCCTGCCTCTCCCCTTGCCCCCAACCACTGCCCCACAGTTTGTTGAGCAGCAGCCCCAGCTGAGGGCCAGGTGCAGCAGGGGAAGGCTGCTCTGGGAACACCCACACTCAGCATCAGGTCTGGGGCAGCGGATCCTTGCCCGCCTGTGTCACCTGCCTGTGAGACGGCAGGGAGTCATCCAGTGCTGCCTCTCTTTCCAGCATTGTGGGTGGCTGGCCGGGATGTTCTGGGTGTGTCAGGATGGCACAGAAGGATGGCAGGATGGAACTCACGTTTATTCTCTTATCTAGGATTTGTTCATCCACTCATTTATAGTGTCACCTGTGGAACTTCCATCTAATCCCTCCTTCCCTTCCGTGCTCCCCATTCCCTCCTCCCTCTTTCCTCCTAACCACCCCTCTCAACATCCATCCATCCGATTGTCTGCCCATCCATTTGATCCTTTAATACACCCCAGGCCACTCCTGTATGCCAGGCACTGGGCTATGTACTGAGGCAGAGGTTAACCCAAGCCGTGTGGTTCCTGCCTTTGGTGGAAGAGTCACGAGTGAATCCGAGGACCCCACACGGTGTGGCTGCCACCTTTGCCAGGGCCAGGAGAGGGAAGTTCAGGAGGGCATCTAATGGAGGTCATCCCAGGTCAGAGGAGTCAGGGAAGGCTTCCTGGAGGAGGTGGTGTTTCGGCTACCCACCTGAAGGATTCATTGACGTTAGTGTGGATTACCAAGGAAGGATGGGAAGTGTTCAAGGCAGCGAAAACACGGATATGCAGAGGCTCTGGGGTGGGAAAGAGCCTGCTGTGTTAGTCACAACCAGGAGACTGTGGTGCTGATGGAGAAGGCAGTAGGGGTGCGTGGGGAGCCAGACAAAGCAGGTGGGGCTGTCTGCAGGGCTGTGGGAGCCCCGGGATGGGTTTGGGTTTTATCTGTGGTTGGACCTGTAAGCAGGGCTTCGTGGAGACCCTGCTGTCTGCCCTGTTCTGGTCCAGGTGCTGTGGGGCCTGGCAGGGGCATGGCTGATGGACTGCACACCTGCCCGCCTGCTACACCCAGGGAGGTGGTGCTGCGACCCTCCCCTCACCACTGACAAAGGATGAGAATGGAAAACAGGAATGATTGCTTGGGGGTCTTCAGGGACTTAAACAGGGTCCTGAAGCACAGCGGGCTCTCAGGGCTGCAGGATGTTGGTGGTGGTGGTGGTGGGGCGTGGGGTGCAGAGGGTGTCTCAGGGCTGGCCAAGGACCTGCAGCTCCAGACTAGTGACATTCGCAATGGGTACCAGCAGGTGGGTGGGCGCTGCCCAGGACTTCTTGGGAGCTGCTTTTACCCATCACAGGCCAGGGCTGGTACGCATCCTGGAGGCCTGGAGCCTCCCTCTGGGTCACTCGCAACTCTTCCTGGGCAAGCTCCCCAGGGTTAAGCCCACGCCTGTACCCCGGGCATGGGAGGAGGGGCAGAGGGTGGCCCAGTGGTTTTTGGCCAGTGGTTCTTTCGCTGGATTGGAAGAGCCGCCAAACGGAGAGGGCTGTGGCGCAGCGTGTTAAACTGCAGCCTTGTGACGCCAGCTTTCTCTATCAGAGTCCTGGTTCCAGTCCCAGATGCTCCAGTCCCGATCCAGCTCCCTGCTGAGGCACCTGGAAAATGGTGCTGCTGGTTCAAGTGCTTGGGCCCCTGCCAACCACACAGGAGTCCTGGATGGAGATCCAGGCTGCTGGCTTCTGCCTGACCCAGCCCTGGCTGCTCTGGGGATTTGGGGAGTGAAAGAGGACACGAAAGTTCTCTCTCTGTTTTTCAAGTGGATCAAAATACAACAAACTGTTTTTTAAAAAAAATTAGTAAGCCACATAAATGCTCCCCGCTCCCCGCCCCCACCCCAAGAACAAATGAATGAACACAGCTTCATTCCCACGGCGAACATCACGTGGCCCCCGGCATGTGGGAGCCCTGGCCACCCACGACGCGGGCGGATGTCTGACGTGGAACGGCCAGCAGAAGGCCCCGTTACATAAACACGAGTCCCTTTCTTCATAAAGCTGAAAGCAATTCAAACGATGTGTGCACATGCGCATACAATATGGCAAAGAAACAGGGAAAATAAATATGGGATTCGGGGGGGGGTGCGGAATCCCACTGGGGGTGCGACGTGGGGGTGGGCACCTTGCGGTTGGATGGAAGTTATCGTCAGGATCCCAGCTTTTGGAAGCAGCGCTGCGGAGAAGCCAGTTAAGTCACCGTCCATGACACCTGTATCCTATATGGGCGCTGTTTCCCGGCTGTTTCCCTTCCAGGCTGGCTCCCTGCTTGTGGCCTGGGAAAGCAGTGGAAGATGGCCCAAGGCCTTGGGACCCTGTACTTGCGTGGGAGACCCAGAAGTCTCGGGCTCCTAGTGTTAGCCTGGCCCACCTCTGGCCGTCGTGGCCATTTGGAGACAATGAACCAGCACTTTTGTTTATTTGAAGGTCAGAAAAACTGGGGGCTCCTGTTCTCTGGTTCATTTTCCAAATGCCCATGCCAGCCGGGACTGGGCCAGGCTGGAGTCAGGAGCCAGGAACTCCATCCGGGTCTCCCATGGGGCAGCAGGGCCCGTCACTCGTGTCGTCACTGTTGTCTCCGTGGGCACACGCCAACAGGAGGTTGGACATGATCGGGGAGGCAGAGTACTGAAACCCGGGGCTCCAGTGTGGCCTGTGGGTGTCCCAAGGGACGTTTCAACCTCTAGCCCCAAATATCTGTCCTAGTTAATGTAATGTCCTAACTAGCGAAAACCTGGGGAGGGTGGATTGTGGATTAGTGTGTATGTGTGTGTGTGTGAGAGAGAGAACCCAGGCTAAAGCACTGAGTAGGGGAGGGGTCTGTGAGTGTTGGGGTGTGCTTGTGGCTTCCATCAGCTGTCACTCCTGAGATGCCAAGACACCCTGGGGATACGTGGGACTGAGTGTGTCAGGTGGCGGGCAGGGCAGGTGCAGAGGCCCTGCAGTGTCATCTCTGGGCCAGCAAAGGGGTGGGGTGGCCACCGGGCTAGGCAAGGGGGTTAGTCCTGGAGGCAACAATGCAAAGGGCAGGAGCGACACAGGTACATGAAAGAACGGGAGGAGAGGAGGAACAGGCCCTCAGATCCAGGGGCTCCTCCCTGCCATGGGCTGTTCTGCCTTCCCTTGTGCCCACGTGGTGGTCCAGCTGCCGTGGATGGTTCAGCTGGGTTTCCTGGACTTGTATGCCTGTGAGATATACCCAGCGATGGTCACTGCCCCTGCAGCTGAAAAAATGTGAGTTTCAGATCGCTCTAGAGAAAATAGGAGCTGTAGGCTCCCAAGATGGGTTGTGTGAGTGTGAGCGACCGCGTGTGCATGAGTGTGTGCCTATGTTGCGTGTGAGTGTGTGTGCGTGTACCTAGATGGAGCTTGTCCACCTAGGGGAGGCGGGGCGGGGTCCAAGGTTCATCTCCAGCCCCGGCAGGCAGCTGTGAAACAAATGCGCATGGGTGCAGCGCGCCCTCTGGTGGCCCATTTTGATAGGTTGGTTACCTTGGGGTTTTCAGAAGGCTACTTTTTTTCCCTTTAATCACGGGGGATCTAAAAACACCTAAAAACTGTTGTTTATTCTCATTTGATTTG